GCGCAGGCGCACACGCGCGGGGCGGGGCCAGGAGGGAGGAAGTGGGGCGGAGGGAGCTCCGGGAGTCCGGAGAGTGGTTCGTCACGACGCACGTCGCGTTGGGGTGGTCCACCCTTTGGACGGTGGCTCGACGGGGCCATCGCCTTTTTGTGAAGATGCAGCGGACAAGTGGGAGGGTCTGTAGAATGTAGAGACAGAATGTAGAACTGCAGCCCTTGCCATACACACCACACCCGCTATTAGTGATTGAACCTAGGGCCCTCGCTCTGAGCTATGTCAACCATCCTTTTAATTTCTCTTTTTTTTGAGGCAGGGTCTCGCTATATTACCCAGGCTGGGCTAGAATTTGCCTCACCCTCCTGAGGCTGGGATTACAGGTTTGCGCTTCCACGCCCAGCTCCGTTGTTTTTAAAAAGAATTGTTTTATGAAATGGTTAAACGAACTGTTTAAGAGAGATATTTACTTAACGCTCCATGATAGTGGCAACTGTTGCCATTTTCTCTTGTTCACCTCTAAGCTGTGATCGTGTACACACGCACTAATAATGTATTCAGACTTAATGGAATGGAAATAATGAGGGCCGCAGCGGTTCTCATTTCAGCGAGTCATTCTATATTGCTGCACCAAATAGGTATTTTTAAATATCTTCTAGTGTTCCACGCAATTAGGAATTCTAATTCAAAAAATGCTAAATGCCACGTACAATTCGCTGAGGGTACAGCTGAGCCATAAAACACGGCCCTAGAAAGAAGACCCAAGACACTAGGGGTGGGAGGGTGAGGGGAGCCAGGTACTTCGGTCCACACGGATCTTATTGTACACAAGGAAAGACAAAAACACAGCCCACAGAGCTATGGGAAGCCTCTGTAGCTGTGAAACAGATAGTAAGGCTTATATTGGTTTCAGAAAAATTACTGGAAAGGGGTATGATGAATATATTAAAGGGAATTAGGGGAGTCTTGAAGTCCACCATCCACTCACCAAGTGGACTGGAGAATGGTTTCTAAAGGACATTTATTAAATACAGTGAACAGGTTTCAAATTGTAAGTGAGAGAGTGGAAAGCCCTAGGAAAACGCCTCTAACTCTTACAGCAAGGCAGTATTTTGGTGAGCAAATTCACTTACGATGGTGTATCCTGAAAGAAGGACTGGTAATCCCAGCACACTGGAAGCTGAGGCAGGAGAGTTGCCATGGGTTCAAGGCCAGCCTAGGCTACATAGTGAGTTCAAGGCCAGCTTGAACTAGTAACAAAACTGTCTAAAAACAAAAAACAAAGCCCTGTAATTTCTATATATATATATTTATTTTGTAGTACTGGGGATGAACCCATGTACATGCTAAACAAGTGCTTTACCACTGAGCTACACTCCCAAACGATAGTCTAGCTTTGTCAGTTTATTTCCTCCAATGGGCCTGAAGGTTACCAGTAGCTCCTCATTACTGAAGATAAGTGCCATTATCATTAGAAAGCTTGTCTTCCATGAACTCATAGCTTCCTGCCTTCCCTCTAATGTCTTCATCTTCTCTTTTTCAAATTTTCTTGACTTTCTGCACTCACTAACAGAGTGTTGGGGTTATTTCTCTTCTCTGGATAAAACTTAAGACATCAGGCTTTAAATATCCATGTGCTGAGACCTCAAATGTGACCGCTACTCTGGATCTTTCCCCTCTAAACATGGATTGCTTGCATATTTAATTACATGTTCAACATCTCCCCTCGTACATGTTGTGTTAGGCTGAATTGTGTTGCCCAGAAAAGATACGTCTAGGTTGCAACCCCATAATTATAAATCATTATTTGGAAATAATATCTTTCTAATGTAATTTTAATAAAAACCAAATCTCAACATGATATGTCATCCTGGATTTTGACAGGTATCCTTCTAAGAAAAAAAGGACCCAGAAACACAAGAAGGGATACAAACAACCTAGAGAGTCATAGGAAGTCAGAGGCAAAATCCAAAAAATGGTAAAAAAGAGGCAAAAAATTCTCACTCAGGGGTTAGGGTAGCCTAACGTTAGCAATATCCTGGGTTCAAGCTCAGCGCTCCTACCCCAATCTTCCCTAGAGGTTTTGGAGGAAGCATGTGCCACCTAATACTCCTGGCCTCTGGAACTGTGAGGAGACACATTTCTGTCATTTTAAAGCATTTTGGTTATGTAGCAGTTTGCTACAGCAGCTCAACCTGGGCAATTTAGTGACTGAGATCCTGTTAACTAACTAAATAAATGAATGATTGAGTAAATAAATAACACAGGCAGCTGGAGTAAGAGGAGAGCAATCTACTTATTCCTTTTTAGGGTGAAAAGAGAGAAATCCTACTGATGGAGTTTATGGTTGCTAATATCCTACAAAGTACAAATTAGAAAATAATAACTTATGTCCCAGAAAGTCGTAGCAACATTTATTTTATGAACTTTAAACCGAATGGATGTTGAATCCATGGCCTTATGAACATTCTTGGACTTTAAATGCAATTGCACTGTTGGCAAGGCTTTATAAAAAGGGTGTTAAGGTACAAAGAGCAACGCATGTATCTGCTGAATGCATTTGACCTACATAGGAAACTATGCTATTCCAATGTCAGCTATCTTTTTGCTTTTTTTTAAGCCAAAGATTTAGTGGTACATGTTAGGTATATATAATGATAACATTCATCATAGGGAATTTGTATCTGTGAGTCACATACATAGCTGCCTCTTTTTATCCCATTCCCCACCTCCCTTCAACTCCACTCCCCCTTCCTTATTTGCTAAAGCTTTGTTTCCATTTGTTTCTTCTATTCTCTTTGTGTGTGTGTGTGTGTGTTCTTTCCTTTACCTGTCCCCCTCCCTTGTTCTCCTCATTTGAATATTTTCCTACCATTTCTCAAAATCTTTAATTAATGTTGGTCCATATTTCCACTTTTGGTTTCTCACACCAGAGAAACAATGAGGTATTTAAACATGTGTCCAATTAATCTAACTGAAGAGTATGGTCTCAAGGTGCATCCATTTAGCTAAAAACATCTCGAGCTTATCCTTCTTTACGGCAGAGTAGTACTCCACTCTATTAAAATAAAAACCACCCATCCTCTTTTTCCATTCGTCAGTTGATGGCCATGTGGGCTATTTCCAACATTTAGCTATTGCAAACTATGTCACTGTAAACATGAGTGTGCATATATTGCTGTGGTATGATGCTTTTCATTCTTTCAGCAAAATACCAGAAGGACAATAGCTGGGTCAAATGGAACCTCTAGTTTTAGTGTTTTGAGGAAACTCCACACTGGTTTCCACATTGGTGGTTGCACCAGTCTGCATTCCCACCAAAAGTGGAGAAGGGTTCTTTTTTCCTTACAACCCAGTCACCATTTGTTATTGGCTGTTTTTCTGGAGTGAGATGGAATCTCAGCATTGTTTTAATTTGCATTTCTTAAATAACCAGTGATGATGAATATTTTTTCATATATTTATTTGCTGTTTCTACTATACATCTGAGACGTGTTTATTCATTTAAGATGCCCATTTTTGAATTGGGTCTTTGATTTGGGGGTCTGATTTTTCTGAGTTCTTTATATATTCTAGACATTAGTCAGTTGTTTGAGGAACAGCTGGCAAACATTTTCCCCCCCACTGTGGGTGGTCTCTTTACTCTGTTGATGATTTCTCTAGATGTGCAAAAGCTTTTTTTTTTTTTTGTTTCCGGTACGGGGATCAAACTCAGGTCCTTGCGCTTGTGAAGGAAGCAGGCTAAATCCCTGGCCTGCAAAAGCTTTTTAATATGTGATCCCAATTCTTGATTCTTTGTGATAGTTCCTATGTGACTATGTGACTAAGATTTTGTTCATAAAGTCTTTTCATACATTAATGTCTTCAAGAGTTCTACCTATTCTATATTCCAGCAGATTTAGTGTTTCTGCTTTAATATTTAGATCTCTGATCCATATCGATTTTAGTTTAGTGTGTGGTGAAAGATAAGGGTCTAGTTTTAATCTGAAACATGTGGAAAGCCAGTTTTTCCAGCACCATTTCTTAAAGAGGCTATGTTTCATCCAGTGAGGGTGTTTGGCTCCTTTGTCAAAAACAAGGTGGCTAGTATGTCTGGAGCTCTTTCTGCATCTTCTAGTTTGTTTCATGGATCCTTAGGTTTTGTTCGCCAATACCATGCTGTTTTTATCACAGTGGCTTTGTAGCATAATTTCAGATCAGAAATCATGATACTCCTTGCCTTGCCTTTGTTGCCAACAATTGCCTTTGCTCTTCTAGGTCCTCTTCTGGTTCCAGATGAATTTTACGACTATTTTCTCTAATTCCATGAAATGTGCTATTAAAATTTTAATCAGGATTATATTAAATCTGTGCGACAATTTTGGAAGTATGGTCATTTTCATGGTATTAGTTCTTCCTACCCAAGAACAAGGGATATCTTTCTATCCTCTGATATCCTCTTCAATTTCCTTTGTCAGAGTACATTAGTTTTCAATGTAAAGATCTTTTACTTTCTTCATTAGATTGATTCCTAGATATTTCATTGGGAGGGGGCTAATATTGTGAAAGGTGTTGCTTCCCTAATTTCTTTCTCATTTATTCATTTTTAGGAAGGCGATTGATTTTTGAGTGTTGACTTTGTGTCCAACTACATTATTGAACGTGGTTATTAAATCTAGAAGGCTTTTGATGCAGCTTTTGGGATCTTCTGTGTAGAATATTATGTCAACTGCGAATAGTGATACTCTAACTTATTCGTTTCCTATTCTTTCTTTGTTTTTTGGTACTGGGGATCGAACTCGTGTTCTTGTGCTTCCTGAGGCAGGCGGTGGAAACACTGAGCTAAATCCCTAGCCCCTCTCCTTTCCTATTTTTATTCCTTTTATTTCTTTCCCTTGTCTAATTCCTCTGGCCAATGTTTCCACAACAATATTGAATAAGAGTGGTGATACTGGACACTCTTGTCATCTTTCTGATTTTAGAGTAAAAGCTTTCAGGTTTGGGGCATTTAGAATGATGCTGGCTGTTTAATCAGAGTGTGATAAAGTGTATCTATTCCAATTTTCTGTAGGATTTTTTATCATGAGTGAGTGTTGGACTTTGTCAAATGCTTTTTCTGCATCTTTTGAGATGATTGTATGGATAGTGTACTTGCTTCTCTTAATCTGGTGTATTGTATTTATTAATTTGCATATGTTGAACCATCTCTGTATGCCTGAGATGAATCCTTGGTCATGGTGTATAATGTTCTTCATGATTTGCTGCATTCCATTTGCCAGTATGTTACCGAGCATGTTTGAGTCTATGTTCATTGGCCTATAGTTATCTTTTTTAGTTGGATCCTTCTCTGGTTTTGGTGTCAGGGTAATGCTTGTTTCTAGGTATGAATTTGGGAGTATTGCTTCCCATTCAATTTCATTTAAAAAGTTGGAGAAGTAGTGGCATTAGATTTTCTCCGAATTTCTTGTAGAAGTCAGCAGTGAATGCTTCAGGGCCTGAGCTTTGCTTTGTTGGTCAGTTTTCAATTACATCTTCAATTTCATTGGCTGATATTGGTTTATTTAGAATTTTTATATCTTCTTGATTCAGCTTAGGTATCTAGTTTTCAATTATCTTCAATTTCATTGGCTGATATTGGTTTATTTAGAATTTTTATATCTTCTTGATTCAGCTTAGGTATCTAGGAGTCTGTCCATTTTTTCTAGGTTTTCGATCTCATTAGAATACAGGCTCTTGAAGTAGTTATTGATAATCTTCAGGATTTCTGAAGGACCTCTTGTGATCTTGCCCTTTTCATACTTATATGGGTGGATTTGAGTCTTTTATTTCCTTTTTTTATATATAAGATTGGCTAAGGGTTTGTCAATTTTATTTAATGTTTCAAAGAACCAACTCTTCAATTCATTGATTTTTCACATTGTTTTCTTAGTCTCCATTGCATTAATTTCTGCTTGATCTTTATTATTTCCTCCTTGGGTGAGTTTTGGGCTTGACTCACTCTCCTTTTTCTAGAACTTGAGAGCTTTTGGCTCGATATTAAGTTATTTGCACTTACTCTGCTTTTCTGATATAGGAATTCTCCACTATAAATTTCCCTCATAAGACTGCTTTCATTGCATCCCATAAGTTCCAGTATGTTGTACTGGCATTATTGTTTAACTGTAGAAACTGTCTAATTTCTTCTCTAATTTCATCTGTGACTCATTGGTTGTTCAGGAAGGTGTCGGTGTTGGTGTGTTAATGAAGTTATTGTGGTTTCTTTTGCCATTGATTTCCAATTTCATTGCACTATGGCCTGATAATATGGATGTGATACTTTCAATTCCTTTGCATTTACTTAAACATGTTCTATGAGCTAGTATGTGGTCTGTTTTGAAGAATGACCCATGTATAGCTGAAAGGAACGTGTATTCTGGTATTGTGGGGTAGGACATTCTATAGATATCTACTAAGTCAATTTATTCAAAAGTTTGGTTCAATTCTGATATTTCATTGTTGATATTTTGTCTAATTTATCTATTTGTGACAGTGGGGTATTGAGGCCCCCATTCCAATTGATGCTTATTTGATTTGTCTTGTCCAGTAATATTTGTTTTATATAGTTGGGTGTACTGATATTGAGTGCATATATATTTATGACTGTTATCTCTTTCTCTTGGACTGCTCCCTTTACAAGGATGTAATGACTGCCTTTGTCTCTCTTGATCAGTCTTGGCTCGAAGTCCACTTTGTCTACCCTTGATTTTTTTCCAGTTTCCTATCACATGTAATATTTTTTCCATCCTTTGATTTTCAGTCTGTGAATTTCTTTTTGTATGAAATGTTTTTTTGTATGTAGCATATTGTTGGATTTTGATTCTTTCTTTCTTTTGGGGGTGGGACAGGATCTTGCTTTGTAGTTCAGGCTGGCCCTGAGCTCACTATGTAGCCCAGGCTGGCCTTGAAATTGCGGTGATCCTCCTTCTTCAACCTCCCCGGGCACTGGGGTTATAGGCATGTGCCACAATGCCCAGTGTAGACCTTGTTCCTTGACCCATTCTGCCAGTCTGTTTTGATTGGTGAATTGAGAGCATTAACATTGATGGTTATAACTGATATTGTCATGTTATTTTCCTGTTGTTGGCTCTCTTTTATTCCCCTCTATTTAATTGCTTGCCTTGCCTACTGGGATTCATGGAGTTGTAGTCCTTGTTATCTCTTTCTAGAATATCCTTCAGAGACTTTGGAGTGGTGGTTTTGGTTCATGAATTTCCTCAAGTGTTCTGTCCTGGAAGTATCTTATTTTTCCATCAATTTTGAAAGATAATTTTGCAGGGTAGATCAATCTGGGTTGGAAGTGGTTTTCCTTTAGGGCTTGAAATACTGCACTCCAAGCTCTCCTTGGCTTGAGAGTTTGTGTTGAGTAGGTGATTTGATAGTTAGTAGGCAATTTGATTTTCTCTAACAGCTTGTAATATTTTGTTCTTGTGTTGAATTTCTGGAATTTTGACTATTAATATGCCTTGGGGAAATTTTTTAAAAAGATTTTATTAAATAACTAATTTATTTATGGGATAACCTTTGGGATTTAGGAAAGGTTGATCTCGTATATATTGACTCTCAAATGGGAGACAGTTTGACATTTAAGCAAACATACTTTCCATTATTAGAGGCAACTTTTCTCAGAGATTTTGACTCTTTCATAGTCTAGACCAGCTGCCTATGTCAACAGTCATGGAAATAACATTGCTTTATCTTTATCCACACAGTGGCTTAGGAGCAACCTGTGTCATTCCTGTTGCTGTCCCTCCCTCTTTCACTCTATAGCTGACTGCCAGTTCCTAAATCTTTTTCTTGCTCCCATCTTCCAGGAGGCCTCTCTATTATCTAAAACATGCTTAAGTGGAAGCTGTTTTTGCAGCTTTCACTTTGACTTTTACTTTCAACTCCTATTCACGCAAGCCTGCTGTGTAACTATACTTATTTACACTCGCTGTGTTTTCCCGCTTCTTGACTAAAAGTTACTGCCTCCCTGTCACTGGGTGGTGAGGCTATTTTGGGCCTTGAGTGGGGGCGGGGGCAGGCTGGGGAGGAAGCTAAAATAAGTCTCACGCCTGAAGCTAACCTTTCAAGTCTCATGTACGTTGCAGTCTAATTCTAATTCTTGTTAGGAACAGAATTTATGTGGGTACTCTATTTACTATTGAATTATTTGAAATAACTGAGAAAAACGTGGTTTCAGCGTGATAGTACTTCTTTTTATCCTTGGTTCCACATTTTAAAAATTATATAGTCTGCATTTTGAATGAAGCAAAATTGTTGAGAAAGGTCACTTTTCTTTCCTTAAATTAAAAAATGTGCATGGCAAATAGACAAGGCAAAGAAAAGCTGTTATCAATCTACAGTTACAAGCTGACCTCTCACTGAGCCAAGAAGTCCACTGCAGCCATTTGTTTTAATGAAGGAAGCCAAGATTTCCCACTTTCCAAGCATCTCAGACATCCAATGGAGGGAGTTGGGCTAATGTCATCTTTCTCAAATATCTGCAGAGATTCTGACAGCTAGGAAAGGATTTGCATGGCAAATAGAAGAAACATCACAGAATGACTGATTCTTAGAATATTTAGGGTTTTTTGTTTTTGTTTCTCTTTGGAGATAGGATCTTGCTATGTAGTTCAGGCTGGCTTTAAACTTACTATGCAGCCCAAGCTGGCCTCCAACTGGAGCTGATCTTCCTGCCTCAGCCTTCTGAATGCTTGGATTACATGTATGTACCACCATGCCCAGCCTAATATTTAGGTTTTAAATTAAGTTAGGCTTTGATCAGCTTCCAGCCAGTTGATCTGTTTAATTATGTAGGCCACTCAACAAGTTTTTGGTTTTCCTATAGTTTTCTTCTTTGCATTCCTTTAGATTGCATGTAGTCTTTGTTTTAGAGACCACTGCCTTTCCTTTGGAATAAATCAATGTGGAAAAGCGAGACCAAAAGGGAATTAACTTTATACCAATACAAGAATCTTACTTGAAACATATATGTAATAAATGTTAAGATAAATTAAAAATTTTAGTGCATAACTTGAAGACATTTTCAAGAACATATTGCTCTCAGGTCAGGTGGGACAATGCAGAGGATGACATCCTTTAAAAAAATTGTGAGTTTTTCCCTAAGCATCTTCCCTCAGGCACTGAAACTGCAGCCATCCAATAAATGAGGAAGGGCCAAAAGAGGGGGCTTCAAAAGTCACAAATATTCTTCAGTAGCTAATTCTTCGCAAGTCTGGCACTGAGATTTTTCCATTCTGCCCTCTTCTTCGTGATGTACCTGGGGGAGAGCAGCTGCAACAGGGAGTCTGGCTGTTGCCTAAAGAAGTTCTGACACAGGGCCTCAGTGTTACAGATCACATATATCCCACAGTCATAGCTATTTTGTTGAGCAGGGGCTTTCTCTTCCACAAAGACTAGTTTATCTTCTTTCCTACCTAAGAAAAGCTTCTAGTTTCTCTGCTACCTGCTTTCATGGATGGAATTGCTTTTGCTATGGGAATCATAATGAAAAAAGCTGTTTTTATCTTGGAGATAAACCAACAAACTCCAGTGGGTTCCCGCAGCTGCCTGGTTGAAGTTATCGTTGATGGCCAAAAGCACAACTTTCCTGTGGGGAAGATCCAGGGGTTCAAGGAACATGGCAATTTCTGCTGGGCAGTTAGTGCACTTGATGAACTGGGTGACTTCGGGGCTGGTGAAGCAGACATGGTCAGAGCAGTCACGAAACTGACTGTTGGCAAAATACTCAAAGGCAAACCCAATCATATGATCATTGAGCCAGCTTGGCGGGTCCAGTAGTGAGACATCTGATTGCCACAGAAGACTGTCCACGTAACTCAAGACTACTGATCTTGTACTACCTGGGGCCGCTCAGAAGTTCCTGAAGCTGCCTTGGGCCTCACCACTCCAACCAGCCTTCAGGCACAACTGGATTGGCCAGAAAGTGAGCACTAAGGTTGCAAACCCAGAGTTTTCTTTCCCAACCTTGCAACATTCCCCTCACAAACAGCGTGGAGTCTGATGGTCACTTCCTAGCCCTGCCATAAATGGAGGAAGACACTTTGGGGCTGGAAAATATTTTTTTGATCATGGCTTTGGAATTCTATATGCCTCACTTAATCTGCATAGCAAATCCTTTTTCCTTGTTTGGGAAATTTTCTGCCATTACTTCTGTGAACAGGTTTTTTTATGTTGCTTGTGAGAGCTCCTGCTTTTTCCTTGACTCTGATGAACTTTTTTTTTTTTCTTTTTGGCCATACCAGGGATTGAACTCAGGACCCTGTGCTTGCCAGGTAGTAACAGTATCACTGAGTTACACCCCTATCCCACACTCTAATTAATCTTATATTATTCTTGTTTGCATAATCTAGTAGCTGTCAAATTGATTTCTCATGGTCCCTTGCCTTTTTTTTTTTTTTTTTTTGGTACTGGGGATCAAACTCGGGCCCTTGATCCACTGAGCTAAATCCCCAGCCCAATTTCTCATGGTCCCTTGCCTTTTTTTTTTTTTTTTTTTTTTTTGGTACTGGGGATCAAACTCGGGCCCTTGAACCACTGAGCTAAATCCCCAGCCCAATTTCTCATGGTCCCTTGCTATTTTTAAGAAATCATTCTTTTCATGATCACTAACCATAATCCTGTCTTCCATATCCTGGCTCATTCTGCTGCATATAATTTCAGTGGAATTTTTAATCTCCTGGATATATGTTTGAATCTGTTTTATGGATTCCACTTCTTTTTTATGCTGAGTTTTCATGGTTTCCATAATTTTCCTAGGCTCCTCTTTTTAAAAAAAATCTCTATCTGCTCTAAAGTCACTAATCATGTCTTTCATTATGATCTCCATCTCTGTAGTTTTTTGGGAAACTATTTCTGATTTGATTTTTTTCTATAGCCTCATTCACCTGATTTGTTACTTCCCCAGTTACCACTTCAAAGAGTCCAGGAGAGTGGGTTTTGAATTGCTCCACCTCATTGCCCCTTGGGTTTGCCTTTGGTGAGCTAGAAGTTTACTTTAGTGTTGCATCTTGCTTAAGTGTCTTCTCATTTACTATATTTTTTAGTTTAATTCCTGAGTTGATGCTTGTAATTTGCATATGGCAAATAGCTTTATTGCTAGTATTTAGAAGCCTTAGCAGGTGACGACTTCTCAGAGGCATCTCAAGGTGTAGCTTTTGGGTTTTGAGTATGTTGCAAGATCCTGCTTCTTCAATTTACTCAGGATGAGAAGTTGCTGCCTTATTTAGCCTAGCCCCTGGCTCTTTGGCACTGGCCTATAGTATTTTTTTTATGACTCTTAGGCAATCTAAGTTTTGGCATACTGTGGTGAACAACTGATTAGAACAATTATGATGCCTTGGCTAAAACAGTACAATCAACAATAACAATAGCATCAAACAGCCCTGAAAATGAGAAACTGTGGTAACTATTAATTTGCTACATTCAACTGTATGAAGTAGATTTGTGGTTATATAACAAAATCTAAAACAAACCAGAAAATTGTATATAGTCAATATGCCCTCAATATGACAATTCTACTCTTAATGGAGAAAATTTTAAAGGGATTGGGGAAAATTGAAAAATAGAAGAGGAAGAGATTAAGAGAACTTTGAGAAAGGGATGAAAAGAAGGGAAAACAGAAGGGAGAAATAAGTACAAGAACAGAACAACAACAAAAACACTAGAAACAATGTTCACACTTTCATAAAAATAAGAACAAACAAGGAGCAAAACAAAATGAGACCAGAAAAATAAAATCAAAGAAAAGAAAGTCCCGTTCAATGTGTGTCTCTGTTGTTACTGGTAGACAAGTTGGGCACACAGAACCCAGATCTGTATTGAGTAATACAAAAAAGCCAGTGGTAGATTTATGGTGGGTAGTGGATAATCCCAACAAGCCTGCCCAATTATTTCTGAAACTTAGCTTGGTTTCTGACTGTGAACCTGGAACCAAATTTGTTCGGCCTTCAATATTGTGTGCCTCTTGCTGGCTTGAACTCAGCTTCTTGACTTCCTGTGGACATGAACTTGGTTCAGCCTCACCATGATGGAGACAGCCTGCAGCTGTTCTGAGTTCCAAGCTCAGTTAGCCCCGGTCCAAGATGATGACCAACCAAGCACACACTCCTGAAGAACATCTGAACCTGAAGACATTGATTGCAGTCCACTTTATCCATGGCTCCACTCCGCTGTTGTATCTCTCTTTGGAGGCTCCTGGGGTCACCAGTGGTAACCATAGGTCTGCAGTTTTGAGCTGCCTGTGGGGATCATGAGTATTGGTTGTAAGTATTGTCAACTTTAGTAACTCTATATGTGTTAAGTTTCTCCAGTTTAGCAGGTAGAGTGTTTCCTTTGTGGAATTCCTGAAAGTTACAGTTTCTTGTCTCTGACCTTTAGATGTGTGGTTGTCCGGGTTACTACTACTCACGGTGGGTTGTTTTTGTGAACCTGCTTGCTCTTTTCCTGTGTGACCTTTCAGTTACTATGGTAAACCCATCCCATAATAGTTTGTTTTTTTTTTTTTTGCTTTAAAAGGCCGGTGCTTGCCGGCAATAAACGCCGCCTTGATCAGACTCTTGTCTTGGCGTCCTTCCTTTCTCTCTGCCCCATCTCCACCCCGCTGCTCTTTCAGGTTTGAGACACTGCTGGACAGTGCTCTGCGTCGCCGGCTCGCGACAGCTGCCCTTCCCAAGCAGTGAGTCAACAGGTTTGAGACTGCTGGACAGTGCTCTGCGTCGCCGGCTCGCGACAGCTGCCCTTCCCAAGCAGTGAGTCAGGGCTCACAGAGTTAACACAGCTTGCCACCTCCTCCTTCTTCATTGAATTCACTCGCCCCATGGGCCTCAATTCTTGCTTCAGATCTTCACTGGGTCCCAGGGACCATTTCCCACCCTCCCCCACCCCATACTGGTTATTGAAGTGAGGACTTTGTGCTTGCAAGGCAGCCACAGCACCACTAAGCTAAATTCCTGGGCCACTTTCCTCCTTCTTGTCTTCCTCATGATGCTATATTCTAGTGTCTGGACACCAAATTTGGGAAACGCTGTTTCTCCACATTTCACCACTCTGCCATCTGCACCAGGCTAACGATATTTAATGTTAACTTTGGACTCCAAAGACACCACTTTGTATTTTAAGAAACTTCTATGTAGTTTTTGGGGAAACTAAAACACTAAATATCATATATTCATATAT